TGTAACCTTGGACAAATTACTTTGAATGATTCTCAGTCTCAGCTTTCTTCCATGTGAAATGGTGGGAGCAAAGTTCCTTCTTTGATAGCTTTGGGGATGAGATGGACACCAATGTCACATGCGCCCAGGCAGCATCCATTGTTATTAGGGGCTCTGGTCTCCAGGCAATCCAAGACACACTGGGATATCCATACTGCCTGTGAGGGTTGTCCTTTTCTTTGGTTTGTTTCCTGTCCATTGGAGGTCCATACTTTATGGTCCTGGAGGAGCCTCCCAAGATGCCGAGTGCCCTTGCAGCCATCGTTTCCAGGGCAGATAGCATGGGGGTGGGTGGCAGGGAAAAGCCTAGAATGCAGCCCTTCTCCTCCATGATTAGCGCACCCTCATATCATGGCCTCTGCTGCCCCATCCTTCCAGTTCTTTCGCATGCTTTCCTCTGGCATTCTGGGTATCAGGACTGCTTACAAAGTACTAGATCAGTGTGCTCCAGCCTGAGGACTGCCCTCATGCCAGTCTGCGGAGTTTGTTTTTAATTATGTTGAATGTTTACGTTGTGCCAAGCACTTTATATCCTCTTATTTAATCTTCAGAATAGCCCTGCATGGGTACTTGTCTTATCTCCAGATTAAGAAACTCACCTAAAATCATGAAATGTGTAAGTTAGCTTTTGCTGCATCACAAACCACCCAACAACTTACGATTTAAAACAGCAAGCATTTATTTTTCACCATTTTGTAAGCTGGCTGGCCTGGCTCAGTAGGGGTCGGAAGGCCAAGGAACCTGGTATGTGGGGAAGAGGAGGAGTTAGTTCAAGGTCAGCTGGGTGACGGAAACATGGCCACAAGTCTCTCATGATTCAGCAGGGCCTGTACAAGGTGGCTGAGTAAACAGAAGTAGCATGAAAGCAAGCAGGGGCACTTTCCAAATCTAGCTTGCGTCATATTTGCTGTTCTCCCGTTGGCCAAACCAAGTCCCATGGCCAAGCCCAGCAGTATGGGAAGGGACTACCTCAGGGGTGGCACGGGGTGGGGGTGGGGGGATTATTGCTGTCATTGGCCCGACAAGGAATGTACAATACATAGCTTATAAGTGTCCAACTGGAGTTCAAAACCAAGTTCGTTAGATCTGAAAGTTCAAAACTGTCTTGGGAGTTATCGCCCAGGGCCTGAGAAGCCAGAATACTTCATGCATTGCCTAAACAAGTCAACAGACTTTGCATGCACACCTGTAACTGTTTTGCAAATGTATATACATAGTGCCATTAATAGACAAAAAATACACCTCAGTAAACATAGAAGTGTTTGTTCTGCTTCATCGCTTGTTTTCTTGTTTAGAGATTCTAAATATATTTGATTTTCCTTTGCTTGCTTTTTATCACCTTCTTGCAAGTCTTTTGTATTATTTTCCTTACTTTTTTTTGCATTACCTTCATTATTCTCCTTTTTACACTTTATTTCCCCTTTCTATGTTGTCTCTACTCTCCTGTATTCTTTTTATTTCCTAAATGCTTTTATTTCCCTGTTGCTAATTTTTTCCTGTGTCTGTCAGGGTCATTGTTTTGTAATCACGTCTAGCTGAAATTTGATGCTCCATGAATATTTCTGACTGAAAAAATAGAATTACCTTTTTTTTTTTCCTGCATTACATTTTGTTTTCCCTGCAATTAATAATTATTTTTCTTTTTCAGTTGCCTGTCTGGCCATTTTATTCCAGAGCTATTTTTCTAGTTAACGTGCTTTTCTCATTACTATCTTATTTCAGCCCTTTCTGGTATTAGGGCAGAGTTTTCATCTGTTTTGTGTCTGCCTTTTTTCAGTGTCTTCCTGTCCAAATGGTTCATAGTTCATTTTTCTCTTGTAATATTTTATGTGTGCAAGATCACATTCTCCTCCTCTTTTCCAAAATTTAAATGAAATGTGTTAACCCTGACCCCTGGAAGGACATTTCTGAGGACAAGGGAATGGCCTGGGGTAACTTTCTCAGCTTCACAGCTCAGGGCTCCCTCTTTGTTACTGCGAAGGGTGCCAAACATGGTTACTTCTCTGCCTCTCAGGGCTAAACCTGCTGCAGAAAATTCTACTCTATTTCCTATTGGCCTCTGGGCTTTGCCTATCAAAATAAAAGATGTTGTATTTTGCTGTTATAATCATTTCTGGGTTTTGCTTCCTCTGGGACCTTTTCCTGCTCCCTATTTGAGCCTTCTCTTCTCCTTACTCCTAGTGTTACTTCCCTGCTTGATTTGGTTACTCAGCCTAGCAGGTTTTTTGTTTTGTTTTGAGGCAAGATTTTGTCCTTGTGAAGGGAATAGTTGCTAGGGTCTTGCTGAAATCCTCAGGGTGTAGAAGACCATAACAGTAGTTGATTGCCTGGTGCTTCTGTTTCAGTTTTGCACTCACCAACTCAGAACCAGTGATGAGTTCTTCCAGTCTTGCAGTTCTTTTTAGACTTTTCCTGTTTAGTGCAAGGATAAATGATGGTTTGGGACAGGAGGGTGTCAATGAAGATGCAGAGAACTGGACAATAGGAGAGAGAATTCGATGATATAACCAGGAGGAATTACTGATAGGGTTGACGTAGGAGAGGAAGGGTTGAACACCTGATTCGGTGTTGTTAGTCACAGAGCTGGGGAAACTGGGTGAGGAGGAGGCAGGGAGGAATGACTGGTGATGAGGGAAGCAAGTACTCCTTTCCATTTCTAAGTGGAAATATCAACAAATGCAGTTGGATATGAGTCTAGAACTCACAGAGAAGATCTAGTCTAGAAATAGAAATTTAGAGGTCATCAACTGTCTTAGACACTTTGAACTGCTATAACAAATTACCATACGCCAGGTGGCTGAGCTAGCTGTCTGGCCTCTTCTTACAAAGGCATTAATCCCATTCATGAAGGCTCAATCCTCATGACCTAATTACCTCCTAAAGACACCATCTCCATATACCATGACACTGGGGATTAGATTCCAACATATGAATTTGAAGGGTGGGGAACATGTAATCAACAACATACAGGTAAATTTAAAGCCATGGGCCTGGGTAAGATCACTTAGGATGTGTGATTTCCGAGTAGTAGGCTAGGTCTGGTCCCCGATGCACCATATGTGATGATGCACTTAGAGATAGGTGGGGGAGGAGGAACCAGGAAAGGAGCCCATGGGAAGGAGGAGCTATAGAGGTAAAGAAAATCGGGAGAATGTGGTGCTACGAAGGCTGGGGGAAGAGCATTTCAAAGAGAGATTGATCAACCAGATGGGAGGGCTGAGAGGCTGAACTGAATACAAATAAAAAATATCCATTGGATTTGACAACATGGAGGCCATTGGAGACCTTGACTGACAAGAACAGCTTCAGAGAAGCAGTAGGGACAGAAAATTAGGTGGAATAGGAGAAGGAGAGAATGAGAGGTGACCAAGTATGTAGACAGCTGGTGTAGACAAGTTTTGATGTGAAAGGGAAAGGAGGTAGCTGCAAGAGGATATGGCAGTGAAGGGAGTTGTTTTTTATTCTTTGTAGAGGGGAAAGAGAAACATGTTTGCATACTAATGGAATAATCCAGACCTTGAGAAGGTGAGAGGGTATAGGATCCAGTGCATGCGGGGAGACTCGTTTTTAATAGGAGCAGGGACACCTTCGTTGTAACAGGAGGGAAGACTGAGAACAAAATTCCTGAGGGAAGTTCATAAATCTGGTGGTATGGCAATGAGTTAAAGCCCCTTCTGAAGGTTTCTATTTTCTCACTGGAGTGTGAGTTGAAGTCAGGAGCTGAGAAAGGAGGCCTATGGGAGGTGTGAGTAAGGGAAAGGTTTGAGGAGAGAGAATATAAAAGTGGTATCTTGTGCACCATGGGGGGTTAAGGGGGTAGAAGAGTAAATGAAACAAGATGGGATTGGGAGGGAGACAAACCATAAGTGACTCTTAATCTCACAAAACAAACTGAGGGTTGATGGGGGGAGGGGGGTGGGGAGGGGGGGGGTGGGATTATGGACATTGGGGAGGGTATGTGCTATGGTGAGTGCTGTGAAGTGTGTAAACCTGACGATTCACAGACCTGTACCCCTGGGGATAAAAATATATGTTTATAAAAAATAAAATTAAAAAAAAAAGTGGTATCTTGGAGCGGGAAACTTACTAAGGAAACTTGATTGGAGGTTTGTGGTTATTAGTTTAAAATAAAATGGGTCATCTACCTTCTCTCCCTCCCTCCTCCCCTTCTTTCCTTCTTTGCTATTTGGGGCCCAGGGCAGTAGGAGCCCAAGCAAGGTGGTGTGACCCAGAGATGGGCCAGGGCTGAGTAAGGCAACAGCTCAGCAAGGGTAGCGAGATTGGTTCATGCAGGAGGAAGGGTTGAGGGGGATAGATATATTGATATATTTTATTATATTTATATATCTTTTAGTGTATAAGCTAAAAACGCTTTTAGCAAAAATAATTCTGAAGTTAATATTAAAATAGATATGTAAGCACAACATTGTGAATGCAGAGACTTTTCATACCACAGAATCTTGTTATCCAAAGCGTTTTAGAGGTCAATCCTAGTCATATTTGATAATGAGGAAAATGAAGTTAAGTGACTCCCCCAAGTCACGTAACAATTTGATGTCATAGCTGAGACTAGAATTCTGGGATTCAGATTCCCAGGCCATAGTTCTTTGTACAAGATACTGATGCTCAAATATTTGATATACTTATCATAAAAAAGGGAATTATCAGAATGAAAGCATTAGTTAGGAAAGAATAATCTGCTAGCATTTTATTTCTTATGAATTCCTCTCTCTTCAATTTCAGCTTTTTGGAAAAATTGTCATCAATAATAGATTTCTGTCCTAAAAAGTGGGTTTAAATATGAATGAGCAAGGTATAGTAAAGAATTTTTACAACTGCGAAGTGTGACCTACCCAAAATATCTTGCCTCTTAAGTACAAACTGCTTAGTTATTTCTCTTCCACAAGAAAATCACTGTTGAATGGGAACAGATCATCAACACAGAACAACAAAATGCAGAAATTAGAACACTTTATTATAAATATTTCCAGAATATAAACTGATTTTGCATAGACTCTTTGAAACTTTAAAAACTATACGTAACTTTAGCTTATTATTATTATAATGAATTCCATTCTCCACTTTCCAATCTAAAAATACACTGCAAGTTAAATCAAAAAGGAAAAACAAATCAGTCTAAATTGTATCATAGAGAAAACTAATGAATATAAATACACCTCATCCAAAACTAAAACAAACCCAATCAAGAAACAGATTTTCCAAAGCCTATTAATACACTCCAATTTAAAATAAATGACCTCCCAAGGGAAAAATACTTCTACTATCATAGCAATTTGATGAGTAAAAGCAGAGCCACTCTCATTAAGGGAAATTATACCTTATACATGAAAAATGTAAGGATGCATTTAGAAAATGAGGAAAAGTAATTTCCATGATGGAGAGTAAGCATATTAAATACTTCCTGTTCACTGCCTGTTGTTAGAAGTTAAAGTACCTGTTCACATGAAAAAACTGGTAAGAACATGAACATCAGAAAACCAGACCCCTCAGCTATTTTTTCAATTTAACCTCAGGAGAACCAACCCAAGAGCTTCAAAATCCGAGGATAGACTGGTCCCAAAGCATCTCCTCCTCTGTCCTCTCTTTACCTTGTTCCTTTTTCTCTTTTCTACGCTTCCGTTCCTCTTTCTTAGAGGCTCCATCTCGGCTTTTTTTCTCCTTTCGATTCTTAAGCTTTCCTGTACTGATCCTGTCTGCTTCCATCTGTGTTTTGCTGGTTTGGAAGTTCTTCTGTTTGTCTAAATCTATTTCCTCGCAACCTTTTTTTCTCTTATGCTTGGGCCGCTCCTCCTCTGGTTTTTCTCTGCCTTCTTCCAGGTGCCTTTTCCCCTTCTGATGTAGCCGTTTATGATGGGCTGGATGGTCACTGGCACTGTTTGCTGAGGAGAGGCCATTGTGAACTCCAGATTCTACACTGTATGAGCTATAGTTATACTCTCGCTGACTAAGGTTCAGGGGTCCTGGTTTCTTTGAGAAATAGTCCCTTGTGAATTGACAGTAGCTCAGGGAGTCTAGTCTTAGCCTGCTGTCATGAGCTGGTAGCCACTGAGGTAAGCGGTTTTCCACTTTTTGTGAACTAGGGCATGATCTCGGGTAGGTCTGCCCGGTTTCAGAAAAGAGTCTTTGATCAAATATTCTATACCTTGGTCGGTAATCAGCCTCTTCTCTGTACCCATAGGTTTCCAAACAGTTGTCTCTCATCTTTCTGAAACAAGTCTTTGGCTCTAAGCCTCTGGCTTTCTGCACTTTGATATAATCTTCAAGTTCATCTTGAAAAGAATCATATGTCTTCTTTGAATGCTTCATTAGGTTGACAACAAGGGATTCTCTGTAGAGAAGATGGGAGAAAATTCTTCTTACTAGATTATTTTATTCTGAATATTTCCTTTGCTCTTGAAGAGAGCTTCAAAAAACAAAACAAAGCAGCCCAAACAAATTAAAACTGAATTTGGCATAAAAGTTAAATACCATGAAATTATATGTCAAAAAGGTGCATTAGGATAGTCAAATATTGGGTGCCTGGGTAGCTCGGTTGTTGGGTGACTGCCTTTGGCTTGGATCACGATCCTGGAGTCCCAGGATCAAGTCCTGCTTCGGGCTCCCTGCAACAGTGAGTCGGCTTCTCCCTTTGATCCTCCCCTTCTCACGTTCTCTCTCTCTCTCAAATAAATAAATAAAATCTTAAAAAATAAAAGAATAGTCAAATATCTCCTAGGCCACTCAGAAGTAGCTTTTGTCTTTCTCAGATGTGGGATGAATGCAGAAAGGAGATGGAATATAGGGTTCTGTTGTATAGCTAAAAATTTAAGACATATGGGAATGTGTAGATAAGGACTACACATTCCTGACAAGTGGCCTGTTCAAGTGCTCATATATTTTCTAAAGTTCTGATTTAATAAATTTCTTGTATATTGTTTTCTAAAAGAAGTAATAGAACCATATAGAAGTAATTTAATTTCTAAACTCTTCCTTTTACTCAAACAAAATAAAATAAACATACATACTTACCTGACTAGAGTACTATAAGACTTAATGTTTACAAAATAGTTTGGGAATGCTGGAAACTAGAAATTCAGCTATGAGAAGAAACTACTCTTTTGTATAGGGCATGAGAGAAGATGAGGGAACAGAGTTCTGTACCTTCTGTATAGGGCTTGGATTTCATTCTATTACTTCTGATTGGTGAAGAAAGCATTCTAGAATGTCTTTTGCTTTGTTCTCTAATATAAAGTACTGGTGGGAGGGTTAAGGGAGGAAATGGAGGTGAAAGCTGAGACAGTGTCAGACTGATACAGAGAAAAGTTTCAGGAGAAATATAAAGTAGATACACTAGTTTTTTTGTTGGCATGTTTGATTCTTTTGGTGGGGGCAGCACTATTCCTGATTTATTTCTTTCCCCTCCCTCAAATTCTACATAAGTGCAAATATAACAGAAAACACTTACTACAAGATGATAATGCCCTAGATATTTTTGGTTACTTACTCTGTCTCCAAAAATTAGGAGGCTGCATAATCCATGCAGAAGAGTATATTTCTTCCCTTCAACAGAAATAAGCCTGACAATAGCACTCAAGAGTCATTAATGATCAGCTATCTTTTCTGGAAACTTGAGATTAAAAACAATGTTTAAATGAAGCCTCATTTGGTGAGTCAGAAAATTTAGCTCCTATTCAACCTAAATAGTGTAAAAATTCTAACTAGAAGAAAACAATTTAACAAATATTTGATTAAATATAGGCAAAAGATTTGAATAGGCACCTCAGAAAAGAATATATACGAATAGCCAATGAGCACATGAAAAGATACCATAAGTCATCAAGTCAATGTCCATTAAAATCACAATGAGATACCAGTATCAGCACTCACTAGAATGACTGAGATCAAAAGAATAACATTATCTGTGTTGGTGAGGATGTGGAACAGCTAGAATTCTCATACATTGCTAGTTAGCGATGTAAAATGGTACAACCACTAACAAAAGTTTGGTAGTTTCTGAGGAATTTAAACATATACCTACTGTATGATCTAGTTAGTCCATTCCTAGATACTTCCCTGAAAAGAAAAGGAAATATACATCCATACAAAGACTGATACATGAATATTCATAGCAATTTTATCTGTAATACCCCCAGAAAGGAAAACACCAAAATGATGATAGACAGGTAAATGGAACTATCAAATAGTGGTATACCCATACAATGACATATCAGTGATAAAAAGGAATGAACTATTGATACAGTCAACAATATGGATGAATCTCAAAATAATTATGTTGTACATAATATATTATATACATATGTACATATGTATATGTACACATGGATCTATGTTGATGGTGTAATTCTAAACTTTGTACATAATATATTGTACATAATATACACACATAATATATGATTCCACTAAATAAAACTCTAGAAAATGTAAATTAATCTATAGTAACAGTGTTTGCCTGGGGATGAGGCAGGAATGGGTGGGTGGGATGATTATAAATGGTATCTTTGGGTGGGGCGCCTGGGTGGCTCAGTGGGTTAAAGCCTCTGCCTTCAGCTCAGGTCATGATCCCAGGGTTCTGGGATCAAGCCCCCCATCAGGCTCTCTGCTCAGCGGGGAGCCTGCTTCCTCCTCTCTCTCTCTGCCTGCCTCTCTGCCTACTTGTGATCTCTGCCTGTCAAATAAATAATAAATAAAATCTTTAAATAAATAAATAAATGGTATCTTTGGGGTCTGGATATATGTTTACTATATTGATCATTTGAAGGTATATACATCTGTCAAAACCCATCAAATTTTATATTTTAAATATGTATGGTTTATTATATGTTAACTATACTTCTACAAAACTGCTTTTACAAAGTCACTAACAAGATTGAAAAGATGTTGATAATTGTTGAAACTGGATGATGGGTATATGAAGGCTCACTATCCTATTTTCTCTACTTTTATGTTTAAAAATTTGATGCTTCATACCCACAAAGATGGCTAAAATAAAAAAAGGCAGATGACATTAAGTGTTGGCAAGGATGTGGAAAATTGGTTAATTCATTCATTGCTTGTGGGGATGTAAAGCAGACGGTTATTTTGAAAAATAATCTGGACTTCTGGCCCTGTGCCTACCGGGTAGGTCTGAGCCTACCCGGAGCCAGATAGATGGTCACCAGGAAGTTCAACCCCTTTGTGATCTCAGACAGCAGCAGAAACCCCAAATGCCACCTCAGTGCCCCCTTGCGCATGTGCAGGAAGATCCTGTCATCCCCACTCTCCAACAAGCTGTGGGGAAAGTACATCTGCTCCATGCCTATCCACAGGGATGATGAGGTCCAGGTGGTTTGAGGACACTATAAAGGTCAACAAATCAGCAAGGCTGTCCAGGTGTACAGAAAGAAATAGGTCATCTACATCACGTGTGTACAATGTGAGAAAGCTAATGGCACAACTATCCATGTGGACATTCACCCAAGCACGGTGCTTATCAGCAGGCTAAAACTGGACAAAGATCAGAAAAAAATTCTTAAACGAAAGGCCAAATTTTGACAAGCTGGAAAACAGAAAGGCAAATGTAAGGAAGACCTTATTGAGAAAAATGTAGGAATGAATATAACCTGTTGTGCAACCATAGTGTAACTGTAGATTTTTTAGCCTGGTATGTATTCCTTTGAAACTTCTCAAGATATCTCTATCTCTTGAATATTTCATTTCTTTCTTGTTTTCTTATTGATATATAGCTCTGTAAATCTACTTTTTCTGTTTTGATGAATACTTTTATAAATAACCACTGGAAATATTTCCTAATTAAAAAAAAAAAAGAAAGAAAGAGAGAAAGAAAAACAATGTGGCAATTCCTCAAACGTTAAACAGTGTTGCTGTATGACCCAGCAATTTCATTCCTAGGTACACAATCAAGAGAACCGAAAACATTTGTTCACACAAAAACTTAACACCAATGTTCACAGCAGCAATATTCCTGGGAGCTAAAAAGTAGAAACAACTCAATGTCCATTAACTGCTGAAGGAATAAGTAAGGCATGCTATCTTCATACAATGGAATATTATTCAGCAATAGAAAGGAATGGAGTGCTGATACACAGTACAACATGGATGAACCTTGAAGGCATGACAAGTGAGAAAAGTGTCCTCACAGTCCACAGATCATGCAGAGATCAGTTAAGAGGTAAATGGGAACTTACCCTTCTCAGGCTGAGGACTTGGTGAAGAAATCTGGTCATAGTCACCCATTAATGGCTTGTTTTCTAGCATGAACCTTCCCCACATGGCGAGACTGTGCAACAACAAGGAAACTAAAAAACACGATGCAGAGATCCCCAAATCGATTTTTGTCTAATACTCTTCTCCCAGTCATCTGAAGCCAACTGCAATCTTGTTATAAAGATTAAACAGTTCAAAGTTTAGAATTATACCATCAACATAGATCCATCATCTGAAAATTCACACATCTCCAATTTCGTATCATCTTACTTCCTGTAAGTCTAAAAGTGAGGCTAACTCTTTGAGCGCATATTTTACCCCAGAAAAATAAATATTTTGTTTTAGAATAAAGTGACCCCAAATTTCCACCTCCAAATTTGCAGATAGACATTCATGATTTTTAGTTTATTTAGTCTGAACTAAGAGTGTAAGAAGCCTTTTGCTCGCTTCCAAATAAGTCAGCTTCATAGAAATAATCCTATGATCTAGAAGATCACTATTTTCTACCTACCTCATAATGTGAAATGCTTTGCAATTCAAACTATATCCCTACTCCCCATACTCCTTTTATAAGGGGAACTGGAAAAGTTCAATATTTGTTCATTCAACGTGGTACCTATGAATAAAATAAAGGGGGGTAAGATAGAAATTACATTAAAGATACATTAAAGGTAATATTTTCAATCTTTAAATAGACGTCATTTCATATACCATCTCAAATTTTAATTTCCTGGGTGCTTGCAAGGCTACATACTAGCTTTTTGCTAATTAGAATGAAATTTCAGTATGAAAACATTTAGTAAGCCTCTAATCTTTAATATGGTAATATATTTTTATTTAGTCCAGAAAATACCATTCTAAAAGAGAAATTACTGGGTCACCAGTCTGGACTTTATTGAAAGATAGGACTAAGGGGGGCACCTGGGTGGCTCAGTAGGTTAGGTGACTGCCTTCGGCTCAGGTTATGATCCCAGAGTGCCGGGATCGAGTCCCACATCGGGCTCCCAGCTCCATGGGGAGTCTGCTTCTCCCTCTGACCTTCTCCCCTCTCATGCTCTTTCTCACACACACACTCTCTCTCTCAAATAAATAAAAAAAAATCTTAAAAAAAAAAAAAAGATTGGACTAAGAAATCTGGCCTTGGCATTTTTGTGTTTTACAGTAGACAATTTCAAAGCATGCAGTTTAAGAGAGTCTCTGATTCTAGCTATATCCCTAATGTCATTTGGGAATCACACAGAGAAACCACAAATCACTTTACCTGTGACGGGAAACAGTCCTCCACAGTTGGTACAAACATGATCACAAGCAAGGCTCACTAAACCAGGCTCAGATAAGCCACTCAAAACTATAGTCATGTTCACATATTAATTTCCAGAACTTTTGTTCAAAAAAAATTCTCACCAGAATAAATAATCTGTACCAAAATGACCACATTTATACTTGAGGTCTATATTACTATCTAAAAGTTCTTAACAGTTGAAATTTATTTTATGGAAATTTATTCATTTATAAATATGATATCAAAAATTGGAACATCAAAATTGTACTTCCTATGCAGCCATATAAATGAATGTACGGTCAAGGAGAAATGTCCATTATATATTAAGGGGGAAAATGATGATACCTATTTACCTATTAATTAATTAATCTAAAATCCAATTTTAGTGTAAAAACACTCAACATACAGAACCAAAAAAACTAAACATATTCATATATGTTTATTGTAAGGAGGAGTTAAAAGAACTGCCCGGCAACCCATTTACTTCCTTTCCTGGGGCTGGGGGAGAGGGTAGAAGGTAGGTGACTTCTGGACCTCTGACTAAAGAGACCAATGATATTAGCTAGGAGAAAGGGAACTTATATTTGACATGTCCTTAGCAAGATGTCCCTGGCTAAGGATTATCTATAGTAAATAAATTCAGGATTTATGAGGCATAGCTTTCTGAAGAATGTCATGTGAGCTAGGAGGTATAAAATGGAGATGATTCATAATTTAAATAAATACTCCCACTGGGCGAGGTGACCCTCATTTGGAAATCTCATCTGTTATTTTGGGCCAGAGAATGCATGACCAATGTAGGAAAACATGGTTTGCGGAGCCATCTTTCATGTCCTAGATATCTCCGCTTCTTTAATAGAGTTGCGTGACCCCTTCTTGAAATACTTAGTAAACGTTGATACTAGGTAATATTACTGATTTGTGTTAGTCTGATCTGACAGTCTGATCCTGTATATTGCAATATCCATAGGAAAAAAATCAGAAAAGATATACATTAAACTTAATGGGGTTTGGGAAATGGGTTTAGGAAAGAAGTAATAGACAATACTTAATATTTTGCTCTCTGAACATGTCTGTATTGTTTTAATTTCTGCAAAAGCATTACTTTGTAATTGAAAACTCTATAAAAATTTAAATGTTCTACAGAGTATCTTCATATTAAGCTTAATTTTTAGTACCAGCATATAGATTAAAAAGGTTTGCTTAAAAATATTATGAGTTTGGGATGTTTGGGTGGCTCAGTTGGTTAAGCATCTGCCTTTGGCTCAGGTCATGATCCCAGTGTCCTGGGATCAAGCCCTGTGTCAGGTTCCCTGATCAGAGGGGAACCTGCTTCTCCCTCTCCCTCTCCACTTCCCTAGTGCTCATGTGCTCTCTCTCAAATAAATAAATAAAATCTTTTTAAAAATTTGAGTTTAAGAACTGTAAATCAGAAACACTTTAGAAACAATGAATATTTAAACATGTTTATTATATATAATATCTCTCTGAATTATTTTTGAGTTGTTTTAAGGTATATAACTAAATTACATATGACTCCAAAGTTAAAATGAAAAGGCAAGCTATAAACTTGGAGAAAATATTCCCATCTCACATATCAGACAAAGGACTTATATCTAGAATACATAAAGAACTTTTGACTCAATAAGACAAATTCAAATCAAAATGGGCAAAAGATTTGAACAGACACCTCAAAAAATAATTTATATATATAAATATGACTTGAAACCCTACACCATCGCTGGAAATCATTAAAATTAATAGGACTGAAAATACCCAATGTTGGTAAGGATGCTGAACAACCGGACTTCTCATATGTTACTAGCTAGAATTTAAAATGCTACAAGCTTACAAAGCAGTTTGATAATTTCTTTAAACATTAAACATCTACCATATGACCCAGTCATTTTGCCTGTATGTATTAGTCTGAGAGAAATGAAAACATACATCCACACAAAGACCTGTACATGAATGTTCATAGCAGATGTATTTGTAATAGCCCCAAACTGAAACAATCCTAATGTCTGCCAATAGGCTAACTGATAAACAAAATACGGTTTATCTATACAATATAATTATTCTGCAACAAAAAGAAAACAGCGATATATAGATAATATGGATGAATCTCAAAATCATGCTTAGTGTAATACACAAGAGTACCTACTGTATGATTCTATATTTGTAAAAAGTTCTAGACATATAAACTAATCTATAGTGAGAGAAAGCAGATTAGTGATTGTTGGGAACAGGAGTAAGTGTGGGATGGATTATAAAGTGGCCTGAAAAAACTTTTGATGTTAACAGAGGTATTTGGTATTTTGTTTACAATGGTTGCTTGGGAGTATACACCTGTCAAAAACTCATTTTCTTGTATACTTCAAATATGTGTATATTTTAAGTAAAGTGTATCTCCCATCCAAGTACTAACTAGGCCCTACCCTGCTTAGCTTCCGAGATCAGATGAGATCGGGCACGTTCAGGGTGGTATGGCTGCAGACAGTAAAGTGCATCTCAATAAAGTGTGTCAGAGGAGCTTAAGGATCTTTAACAGATGTTTTGGAAAAAGGAATAATTTTGCCTTAATTTGTTCAACTGGATTTTTAAATGTTGAGTTTGTTTCCAGAAAAATCACTCACCTAACAAAGGCCAATTTACCTACACAGAACTACTGCCAGTCATATTATGTCACTTAATCTCATTGCTCCTAGGGCCAGACATAGGGACTCTGGAGTCAGTGCTAGCACTTCTTAGCTATGTAAGCTTGGTTAAATTCCCAACCTTTTTGTGCCTCAAGTTCCTCATCTCTAAAATAAGGATATAATATATGCCTCAAAGAGATGTTGTGAGCCTTAAGGAAATGAATACATATAAAATGCTTAGAAGAGTATATGGCACACGGTAGGTGCTGAATCAATGAGCTACTTTTATTAATCCTCAGGATTTCATCTATTTAACTGACATAGTGAAATATTCTCCCACTCAATTATTCTCATAACTACAGAAAACCAAATAAAGGAAAGATTATATGTAAACAGAGCAAGAGTGCTTGTCAGGAGTACCTAAATCTTTTTATTTCAAGCTAACTCATGTTTCAGAGGGACTTCTTAAAAATGAAAACTGAGGGGGCACCTGGTGCTCAATTGATTAGGCGTCTGACTCTTGATTTCAGCTCAGGTCATGATCTTGGGGTCATGAGATTGAGCTATGAGTCAGGCTCCCGGCTGCTTGGGATTTTCTCTCTCCTTCTGTCCCTCCCCCTGCTCTCTCCTTCTCAAATAAATAAATCTTTATTTTTTTAAAAGATTTTTATCTATTTAAGAGAGAGAGAGAGAACATGAGAGAGCATGAGCAGGGAGAGGGGCAGAGGGAGAGGGGAAACAGACTCCCCACTGAGCAGGGAGGCTGTCCTCCAGCTTGATCCCAGGACCCTGGATCATGACCTGAGCCAAAGGCAGGTGCTTCACCAACTGAGGCACCCAGGCACCCCTGTAGTAAACAAATCTTTTAAAAAATAATAATAAAAATGAAAACTGAAGGTTAGACTTGATCATTGTCCTTTGCGATTGTTCTAATTTTAAACCAATTCTTTTAAGATTTCAGTTTAAATTGTGTTAATGTGTGTCATGTACAATACTCAAAAGGGTATGGAGTATCAGGCAGAAACACCTAGGATACAAGCTAATTTTACTATTTATAGGCTGTATTAGGTCCCATCTTGAGTATTTTTTAAAGATGTACCTTCTAGTATTTTTGGAACAAATCTAGGAAAATTCTGAAATCTTGAGTTCCTATTTATACTGCACATACACCACAAGCCTAGTTATAGATGAACACCCACAGAGTACTACTTACTTGTTCATTTAGTTCGGGGAAAGGTACCATAGTGAAAAGAGCAAAAATATGGAATCTTTTATTTTGAAGAAATGAAACTATGTAGGTTATTCAGTAGCTGGAGGTTTGATCTTTTTTATTTCAGTAAAAATATGGAAAGTCATTGTGAAAGTTAAATAAATACATCATATATCAACTATTGTGTTAAATATGAAACACATGAGTAATATGAGTTACTCTTAATTCAAAATTGCCTAAAACAGCTTCATATCTTAATAAAAAAACTAAGAGCCACTCAAATTCTAGAACTGTCAGAGAGAATTTGCTACATTCCAACCACCCATTTAGAAATTGTAAAACTTGAACTTCTGCATTGTGTAAAATGTTTTTAATAGGTCTTGGGTTTGGTGAATAAAGCAACTGAATTTAAGTTAAAAAAAATCTAATAAAACGTTTATGCCCCACAAGCACATTCCAACCACCCATTTAGAAATGTAAAACTTGAACTTCTGCATTGTGTAAAATGTTTTTAATAAGTCTTGGGTTTGGTGAATAAATAAACTGAATTTAAGTTTAAAAAAATCTAATAAAACGTTTATGCCCCACAAGCACATCATTTGTGTTGTGGCATGGCATTTAAACATCATATAGTATGAAGGTCTTAAAAAATGTTTATTAAATATCTCTGAAGAAAAAAATGGGCAAAATTAGGATGTTAATCTGGTTAGTTTTAGCTCAATTCTTCCCCTTTAAAAAAATACACCAAAGAGCATGGTCTTATACTTTTAAACCTAATTCACAAAGAAGCATTAAGGGATGTTTTGTATTTTTCCA